TTTTTTTATAAATCCCCTCTAAAATAATTCTCTTTAGGATTGTACGCCGCGGGTTGGCTCGCTACTGGTCCTGTTGGTGTGATTTTGTCAACAATGTCAAATGCTTTTGAAACTGCCAATGTGATCAACAAAGACTTGAGTTCGGGCGCAGTGGATGTCTCTCAGAGCAAACCAGGCGCTGCTTATATATTGAATCTGCTACGGAGTAAAGGTAAGATCTTATAGCCTAGGAAGCAATTCTAGTTTTTAAATGATTTTTCCCCTTTTTTTAAACATCATACTCCATCACTATCGACTATTTGTCTGCATGGTGAACAGGACAGTGACGTACCGGTACCTTTACAGGTATAAGCCCTCAGTGATAAGAAAGTGCAAGCAAACAAGATAAGATAGTAATAACAAGATAAGATAGTAATAACAAGATAAGATCATATATGCAATAATGATTATAATGATATAATGATTGCCTAGAAAGGGGTAGACCTATATATATTTTCAAGCTTACAGTGGTGGCGCTTTACCTGAACAGTAGGGTGGGCCATTGGTGGGACAAAGCGGGGTGGGATCATTCCGGAGGGTTTGGGGGTAATGGAATTTTGAAAATAGGTTTTTTGAAATTTTTGACATAAATTAGACTGGGTTTTTATTATTTGAATCACCTGATTAGAAGTTGGTAGGGTTAACAATGGTACGTTATTTACTACTATTAATTTTTTTTTACTGTTGAAGTTAATACAGCAAAGTCCCTGGTTTTAGGTATTCCAACAGTGGATTTCGTCGGATGGGAGAAAATCGATAAAGTGGAAACCGAAAGAGGTCAACTTGTGGGAAAACCTAGAGAAAAAATTGTCAACATCACAGAAATGTTAAACATTGGGGCACAGCTAAGATGAGTTTGTTGAATTAATTCAAAATTTGAATCTTGAGATATTTTAAGTTAAAGTTCATATTTTATATTGACTTTCACAATTGGACGTTGGAAACAAAGTGGTCGACGACACTCATTTAGTGCCCATACCATGTTTGAGAGATGCAGTTTACTGCTCCGTTAGTAGTTCCCTTACCACTCTGAAGGTGGCCCTCTGCAATGAAGCTAAAGCTTTAGTAGACCTTGATGTGATACGAGGGGTAAAGTCCCTTGAAGATGCCGCCCTAGAATTCCAGGACAGAACATTAAGTCCAGAAAGCCTGATGACTCAGAGAGTAGTTAGGATGAGGTAAATGAAGATAAGGACCGTAGCTATCAACACAACTTTCAATATGCCGAGTTAAGTGGTCCTAAGCACTGTCCTCCTGTTAATCTTTGTTTTTACAAAATTAAGGAAACCCACATTAAACTGTGCAATGCTGTGGGGGTGCTATCATGTCGCATTTTGTTTTGTTTTACGTAAGACTGATTTTTATATACAAATTTATTGCTAGATATTTTGAATGTATTATTTATCATAGTAACCATGCTTTACTCTTCAAATGCAAACATTTTATGAATTAGCCCATATTATATTGTTAAATTATAGGCTAGTTGTAAAAGTTATGTATATTCAATAAATATATTTTTTACTAAATATTATTTTGTATTCATACTAAACCAGTCAAGTAAAGAACTTATTAATAGTTTTTTTTTACTTAAAAACAAAATTGAAAGATAAAAAAATATAATAAATCAAATAGGCCCTACTACGTAAGCAATATTAAACCTATTAATACCCCCGCCGCAGCAAACCTGCAGACTAAGCGAATTTCCATTTCCCTGAATGGATTTACACTAAAATGTCTCCTTAAAATTATCACATTTATTCCCTATTTATAATGTTTAAGAATAAATGAAGGGAAAACAAAAACAATGGAGTGTGGGAGAGCAACCCAAATAAACAATGACAACAATATAGAAATAGAAGGGTACAACTTTAAAAAAGTAAACAACTTCACTTATTTGGGAGTAATGCTGACGAATAACAATGAAGAAGATATGGAAATACAACAAAGAATAAATGCAGCAAACAGAAGTCTATCAGCATCCCACAAACTATTAAGCTCTCGAATACTATCACACAAAACAAAACTCCGTATATATAAAACCATTATAAGACCAGTTCTGTTATACGGCTCAGAAAATTGGGTGTTAAGTAAAAAAACAGAAAAACGTTTGATAGTATTTGAGAACAAAATATTGAGAAAAATATATGGTCCAACCTTTGAAGATGGAGAGTGGAGGATAAAACACAATGCAGAGTTGAGGCAATTATATATGGACCCAGACATAGTGGCCGAGGTGAGAGGTAGGAGAATGAGATGGGCTGGCCATCTACTAAGGAAAGAGGACGACTCCTTAGTCAAGAACGTCCTTTTGAACAATCCGGAGGGCAGAAGACCACCAGGAAGGCCCAAGTTGAGATGGCGAGACCAGGTTAGAAAAGACCTGAGAAGACTGGGAAGAAGGGAAGATGAGGCAATGGATAGAAAAATCTGGAGGCAATGTGTTGGCGAGGCAAAGTACCACCTTGGGTACCAAGAGCCACGGCAGTAAGTAAGTAAGTATTCCCTATTTAAATAGAATCAGTTTAAAACATACTTAGGTTTGCTGCAACAGGGAGGGTAAAAGTGTTTTTTATGTAAAATGTTAATAGTTAGTAAGAAATAAAAACATTTTCCAAATTTGGGCAAAATATGTTTATAAACAAGCAAACTACAACAGTTTACTTATTCTCCATAAGAATAACATGGGAATTTTAAATTTACAATTTTTTGGAATTTTCTCCGTAACCATTAGGCGCATTATAACGCTTCAATATACTAAATTATTTGTTTTTTTAAGCTCTACAAAATAGTTTCAAAAGAAATTGCAAAATTTTATGTTTTTTGGGTCAAAAATGGGAAAAACCCATTTTTTCCCATAAAAGCCCCCATAAACCCCCGTTCCCATGGTCCGATCATGCTGGTTCGCGAACTCGTTCGAATAAACGTAGGTTTACACGTTTGTACCAAATTTCATCAAAATCGGATCATTTTTGCTCGAGTTATCGCGCTAACGGACACATATATATATATATCTTCTATCTATATATTAATAGGCAAGCATGTTTCTTTAAAACCTTTTTTCTCAGCTCGTGTGCATCGTAGGGAAAATCTACGCATACCGTTAGAAAGCTATTTTCCTGTAGGTGTGCAGAATCCCTTTAGAAATTTAAATAGGCTCAAAGATAAGCACAAAAAATGAGTTTAAAGATTTGAAAGAATTAACATGGATCTTATGCGTTGCCATGCTGGTGACGAAATAACAACGAAATATAAACAGGAAATCAAAACAAATGGAAGAAACTCCAATCACATGTTTTATTTACAGTGTGGGGTGAAAATAGAGAAGTGAGTACATTACATTACTTTGGTCGAGTTTCGACCACTGGACGACCTCTCGTATATATAAATATGAAAAATAGAAAAATAGGGCTACTATATATAAATAAAGATTAAACATTAATAAACTTAGTACCCAAGTAAAATTATTTATTAAAATATTTACTGACTATAGTTTCGGCTCTAAGGCCATTTTCAAAGTAAACAAAAATCAAAATAAGATATGTAAATAAATAATCAATGAAATCAAATTTTGCAGATCATTTACTAAAATCCAAACATAAGTTTACTAAGATCGAAGAAAACTTAACAATATTAGAAATTGAAAAAGACAGAGAAAAATTGAATGTAAAAGAAGAAATTAATATTTATATGAACTACAAAAATAACAAATCAAACATTTTAAATACAATGATTCCAAAATTGAATAATCCAATATATGAAAAAATAGCAAAATTGAGAAAATATTAATGAAAATAAGTACAACACATCATATAGTATATAAATTAATCAATGAAGACAAAATTATGTTACAAGTTAGAAAAGTTTTATAATATCATATGTTATTTATTTATTTACATATCTTATTTTGATTTTTGTTTACTTTGAAAATGGCCTTAGAGCCGAAACTATAGTCAGTAAATATTTTAATAAATAATTTTACTTGGGTACTAAGTTTATTAATGTTTAATCTTTCTTTATATACATATATATATATAAATATATATATATATATAAATATATATATATATATAAATATATATATATATATAAATATATATATATATGAATTTGAACGGATGGTGTTTTTGTCCTCTAGGGACCTCAAAACGAAAAAAAAAATCGGTCCCGGGTCCAGGTCTTACCGTGAGTACTACGGTAATAGCTTATTCCCTATATGGGAAATTCGCTAAAAAGAAATATTAAAAGAAATTTTAAACCTATTAAATTATTTCTGAGATTTTTGAATGGGCAGAAGAAATAAAAACAAGCAAAGCTGTGAGTAGCAAAAAGAATAATTAACAAGGAATAAGAAAAACTATAATTTAATATCTTAAAAAGTTAACGATTCTACTTTTTATAAATTTTTGAGTTCATATTTAAATTTGTACAAGCATTACAGCTCACTTTAAACACAAGTTTTAATCATTTTGTCATACATCATAAGGCTATTAAATCTTTCTGTTTGAATTTTAAATATTTATACTAAATAAAAAACTTCTTTACACGATACTAAAAAAAGTGTGTTATAAAAGTCCCAACAACCTGTTTCAAGATTTAAAAGTAATGGGATGAAATACGTTTGACTTATTGGTGTTGGTAATATTTAAAACTGTTTTTTAAATGCTTATACAATTTAAGTACATACAAGTTTTTCTACGTTGAAAAAAATATATTACATGTTATCACTCTCAAAATAATTCAGCAAACATTGAACCACAACTTAACCTAACCTAACAATGTTTCTTAAGTGTACTTTTGAAACTTAAAACCAAACAACAAATACTTTACTAACACATCATAAAAAAACAACTCCTTATCATTCTAAAGTAATAGTTCTCCACACTGACTGAGACTGAGAATCTCTGTGACTGAGAATTCTCCACAGATAATAAAATAAACCGAGAATTGCAAAGATTATCTTGTCACTGCATGTTTGCTAGTGTCTTTCCTGTAGAGACACAAACTGGTATTGGAACTAGGAGTGTGAGACGCTCATTCCAGCGGTGCTCCATAGCCAACTTGACTGTTTCTAAAAAAAACATAGTAAAATTGACAGTAAAGCCAAAAATATTGTTCTTCTAAGTGCTAAATTAACTGACGGAAAATGCAAAATCAATAAATAGAATCCCAAATAGTCAATTTTTTACAATGCATCTGAATTAATAGTTAATTAAAGTAAAAATGTTTATTGATCAAGGATGTGTATAACAAACAGTGAAGATATTTTTTGTAAAACTTCAATTTGGACACATGGTTTTAGACATGCTTAGTTGAATATTTATTCAACCTCATCAGCACATTAACACGTTGAATGCTGAAAACCTTTAAACAGGCGCTCGCCAATGGCAGCGAGGCCCGGGCGAAGCCCTGGTGCGCTACTGAATCAGCGAACGGAATTGGCATTCAAATATTTCAGTCTGACGAATCTCAAAAGCGCAGCGGTGATTGTGCTGTGTTACCCCGAAAGTGACGTAGTTTACTAAAACACCCAAAGGTAGCAGCACTGCCTGGATCAATAGCCAGTGTCTTTTTAACATGGCTCGAATAGAGGAAATCCCCAAAACCGGGACAAAAGCATTGCCAGACGGGATTTTTCGGGAATTCCAAAATAAAGCTTGCATTCTAAACTACAGCCTGGCAAGGATTATAACGTTCCTCGGCAATGGCTGAGCTCATACTGAACTAATGTAGTGAGAGTGGCGCAACTACATCTATAGATGAAGGCTGATAGGAGCGCTCGTGACACACTACATCAATAGATGTAGCCCGCACTCAACATGTTAATTCTTTAGACAAAGACAAAAGTATATAAAACCAGTAATATGCATCTACCAGATCTTAGTGTAAAAGTAAAAAAAAAAATGTAGAATGTTTAGCAGTTTGTTATATTTAGTTTTAGTTTTTGCTATTAATTCTCAAGCAGATAAATATTGCTACCCACACAGTTTTTGTCACCTTTTTAGGCTGTGTATTTTTTTAGAAGCAAAAAGACAACAAATCAGTTCCTTCTGCTGTCTTGTAAACTGATATGGCCAGCAACATCAACTAGAGATACACCAAATGGTAAAAATATGAGATTTTGTTTTGAGTGAGTGACAAACATGAATTTTGTTCCAGCGAGTTCAGGAATAAAGTAAGATTTGAGAAATACAGTATAAATATTTGAATTGTGGAGAAACTGTTTCAATTTAACATACAGGTTCCTCTCCTGCAATTTGTACTATCAAATTAAGAACCTTTATGAGTCAACCCCAACTCACTAGAAGTTTCTTGTAAGTCTCTATCGTCCACTTCCCAGATGAGCTCATCATGAATCATCAAAAGCAGCTTTGCTCGGAGTCCTCGTGATCGAATCTCAGCCTCACAATCCAACATGGCTGCTTTGCAAATGTCCGCTGCTGACCCTGCAAAGAGTATATTTTGGATTTACACAGTCTTACAATGTTATTAGGTATAGCGCTAAACATGCAATCTTTGCCATTTAGTTTATTTATGTATACAGTAAACTCCCTCTTATCCGGACACCTTTTAATCGGACTACACTCGGCGGAAATGACATCTCTTTAACCGGAAAATTGTTATCAGCACATTGGTTTAACCGGACTAGATCGGCAGGAAGTGAGTAGTACTGAAACGACTGTTCTAATTGTATATAATTGTATATAAAATATTTATAAATTATTTAAGTATAGAACATTTAGCTTGAGGTTGTATTGTACATATTCAACAAGCAAAAATTGTATGTGCTTATCTACTATGTGAGACTAACAATTAATTCTCTTAATCCCCACAATAATTAAAACTTCTCAATGATAACACCATAACCAATTAGTTCAGAACTTACACAGAAGGTTCATCTGAGAAATATTGTTTTATGTAGTGATTTCTCTTATGCTACGAACTTTTTAAGCAATAAAACAATTAATTGATAATTATTAGAGTAAGCTGAAGCATCACCTTGTATGAGGAAGTTCATCGCTTGTCGCTCAGAGTATGATCGAAGCTTTCCATTGGTCGAACGGATGTTGGGGAATAGCCTTCTACGGCCGGAGAGTGCTGACACAAACCCTTGCGTACGACACTTGGCAATTACTGTCCGCGGCAGACTGCGCAGACTTGGGAAGATGGCTGCCGACAGAAAACATAATTACCAAATCATAAATGTTAAAAACTAATTCATAACTGAAAAGCTCAGTTAGTCTACCTTACTTTTGAATATTTACTTACAGACTCAGTGATTTTACTAACATTGCTGTGTTGGTAGTTGTAGGAAGAAGCATTTTAATATTCTCTCTTCGATATATTTACTGGTGACAATGTTAAGTGTGTATGTGTTAAGTGCCTTGTTTCAATACATAGTTTAATGCATGAAGGAAAAATTAATTATTTTTAAATGCTGTGTACATTAATCTATGACGTACACTAATCTACATACATTAATCTACATACATTAATCTACATTACACATAGACGTCACATACATTAATCTATGAACGTCTTCTACTTGCCTGTCAAATTTATGAACTTTTAACCGTTTGTCCCAATTTAATTTACAACTACTCACCAACAAAGTTGTCAATGATTTTATATGCTTCTGTCGGTTCAACATGCAGATATTCCGAGAGTTTATTGGCGCCAGCTCCGTACATTACAGAGTAAACAATTCTCTTGGTTTTTTCCCGTTCTTCTTCTCCCTTGCCACCCAGCCACCGTTCCGCCAATCTCTGGAATATGTCTCCTCCTTCACTGAATGCCTGAAACAGTTTGTACAGTTTTATAACACTTAAAATATGTTTCAAACAGTCTTTAAGTCAATACTAGCTGTTACACACGGGCTTCACCCCGTTTGACTTCATGAGTATTAATAAAACCATTGATTATATAAAACTATTGATTGGTTAAGTTAAGCTGAAATAAACAAAACAGAATACAGTAATACAAACAAATAATAACACCTGATTTCAATAAGGTAATAAATTGAAAGAATAACATACAAATAAGTACAGCTGAGGTATTTTTAACATTAGCTATATATGGAAAGTTCCATTCAGAAAGGAATTGCAACCTTAAAGGGCAATTTATAAAATAATGGATAGTTATGCGCAAGGTTTCTCGTCATGACGAACATATTAAGTATATGGTTTATGGGGATGTGACTTGTAGTTTTCTCAAAAGTTCATGGGTACTTTGGGATTTATATATGGACTAGCAGAGTACCAGTCTTTCGTACGGGGTTGGCATATCTATATATATAAAATCCAATGTATGTTTGTATGTATGTTTGTTTGTATGTATGTATGTTTGTTTGTCCTTTATGGACTCCGAAACCGCTCGACAGATTGTAATGAAACTTTCAGGCATTATTAAGCATTATTTAAGGATGGTTTGTGTGAAGTTTGGTGCAGATCCGTCAAAAGGGCTCCGCCCCAGTGGCTCTGGAGTTTCCCATGTTAACCTTATGAGTACTCATATTTAAATGGAATTAAAGAATCTTAACAGCTGGTTCAACTAAGCAATTTGATTCTGTGATGTTCAATAGCATTAAAAAGTTAATAAGTTTACCAACAGGGTGCAGCACGATTATTTTTTTTTATTTATGACAACAGCTAATTTGCAACCAAAAGGTGAGTGAGCGTAGCGAACGAACTTCAACCTGGAGGCGAGTTAGCGTAGCGAACGAACTTCAACCAGGATCTTGAAAATTAACAAGCATTTGACATAAAACCACATTAGGACAGGACGACGTCTGTCGGGCCAGCTAGTATAATAGTATAAAATGCTTATTGCAGTTGTACTCGAGCTTTGCGTTTGCAATGGGGGAGGACACAGTTTGATAAAATTTGCTTCTTTAAATTTACGGTATACTATAGTATTACACATCTACCATAGCCATAATGTTCTACACTTCACCTAAACAATAGAGAAAAATATATTATTACAAATTCACAAAATATCACAAATTATTCATGAAGTTAAAAACATAAACATAACTGTAAACAATCCTACTTTGACAGATCACATTGTTTATCACAGTTTTTTGTTGCTGCTTGCCTTGTTGTTAAATCTTATAACTTTTTAATGCTTTTGCATATATATCATGGAACCAACTTTATTAGTTGAAACAGCTGACTAAATTCTTTAATTCCCTTTAAATATGAATACTCATAAGGTTAACATTGGTAACTGCAGAGCCACTGGGGCGGAGCCCAAAAAGATTTTTGAGATAAGAATATGCCTATATGTTAATCGGGAATATGAGCTATCATAATACCAAATTTCAGCCCAATCCGTCCAGTAGTTAATGCGTGATTGAACTTCAAACAAACACACTAAGTTTCACCATTGACTAATCGATCACATTTATAATACTAGTAGTATGCTTATTCTGCGCGTAACGGGATGAGTGGACGTAAACGCATTTGTGAGCTATTATATCACCTAAAAATGATAAAAAATCCAATATATGTTTATCTAACTAATGAATCTAAATGCCATAAACGGTTCCCACACTCCGCACTGCTTGCCTTTACCACTTCCATCGCCACTACCTAAGTCGTGGACCTGTTTCCCTACCTTCCCTCAGCATTTTAGTATTGCATGTACATTAATCTAACTGCCACAAACTGTTCCCACACTCCGCATTGCTCGCCTTGACTACTTCCTTCACCACTTCCTACGTCGTGGACCTGTTTCCCTCCCTTCCCATAACATTTTAGTATTTCAGATACATTAATCTAACTGCCACAAACTGTTCCCACACTCTGCACTGCTCGCCTTGACTACTTCCTTCACCACTTACTACATCGTGGACCTGTTTCCCACCCTTGACATAGCATTTTAGTATTGCAACTGTTTCATTGCAGATACATAAATCTAACTGTCACAAAGGGTTCCCACACTCCTTAATTCTCGCCTTGACTACTTCCTTTATCACTTCCTACGTCGTGGACCTGTTTCCCTCCCTTCCTATAGCATTTTAGTATTGCAGGTACATTAATTTAACTGTCACAAAGGGTTCCCACACTCCGGACTGCTCACCTTGACTACTTCCTTCACCACTTCCTACGTCGTGGACCTGTTTCCCTCCCTTCCCATAGCATTTAAGTATTACAGATACATTAATTTAACTGTCACAAAGGGTTTCCACACTCCACACTGCTCACCTTTCCACTTTTTTTACCATTTCCTAAGTCGTGGATCTGTTTCCCTCCCTTCGCATAGCATTTTAGTATAAAAATAGCCTAACATCTTTGACTATTTAATATTCAATGAAAACATTAAATTGAATAATGTAAAAAACTGCTTACTTCTAAATATATACATACCGTATATATTTTTAATGTAATGGTGAATTTTAATACTGAACATAAATGGTATATAACTGCCGACTAATATTGTAAAGTTCAATTTATTATTCTGAAAGTTGTGAAATTATAACAATATATATTCATAGACGCCAAACTGTTTACTCCATGAATGAAAGAGCGTAGATTAAAAAAACTTAAAAGTTGTTCTAGCTTCTAGCTTGCAGGTAGCTTCTAATGTTATTCTTATGGGACAAATTTAAAAATGTATTTTTAGGGTTTTATAATTACTACTTGAAGAGCGGAATCGTCTAGAATTTTAATGGTGTCTTCTCACTGGTATCATAATTATTTGTGCAAAATTTGAACACTATAAGTGCAACAGTTCTTGAGTTTTGATGCGAACGCACACTGCCTGATGCTCACGGACTCACAGACAAGCGTACAACTTTTCTCTGACTCCGCTATACAAGATACATAGATTCGTTCACTTCGTTCACTCATCTATTAGTAAGATTGGGTTACAAGTTTACTTAGCACAAAGTTGCCAAAACTGGCAAGCCGAAAAAACCTAAGTCCCTGATAGGTCCCTTAAATAAAGGCTTGCAATTACTAAAGCTAGAAAGAATTATACTAACAAGCAATTAACTTGGCCACAGATGAAAAGCAGCAGAATTAACTTGGCTAGTTTCTGGACAAGGTTAAACTTTAGACATGATGTAAAAAAACATTTTTGATAAAAGGACTTTTTGTTGGAAATAAACTTTATTTTGATTTTTTTGTTGAGATTATTGTTGCAATTAATGTAACCTATGGTAAAACTACTATATGTACGTAAATGCAATTCATCGTGTGATTCTAATTCAACATAAATACAGTTGAACCTCGTTTGTACGAACCTCGATAAAACGAATTCCTCGATAAGACGAATTTTTTTTAATCCCCTTGACACTTTCATATAGGTCAATGCTAAAAACACCTCTATTAAACGTAGTAATTAAGTTAAAACCTCCATAAGACGAATTTGTTTGTGACATGGGCTAGGACTGATTAACCTCTATACAACGAATATCCTTAGCACAAAACCTCTACAAGACGAACGTGACCTCTATAAGACGAATTTATCATAATCTCAACCTCCATAGTACGTAGTTTTCAAAACAAACAGAAGCTTGTGTCAACATGAAACCCCCACCCATCCCTCATCCTTTCTCACTCATTGTTTGGAGAAACCTTGGAGCGAGGAGAAACCTCTATAAGAAGAATAACAGCAGCATTTAACCTCGATAAAACGACCCTCTTTATTAAGAATACCTCTATAGTACGAATTTTTCCCGTACCCCTTGAAATTCGTCTTATAGAGGTTCAACTGTAATGTAAAGAATAGTTCAGGATCAAAAACTTACAACAAAATACTGACCTGCAGTAGTGAGCGATCTTGTGTGAAATGTGCGAACACTCGGAACTCTATCTGTTGAAAGTCTGCAGCGAGAAACGAACATCCCTCTCTTGCTATGAACATCTCTCTCAGGTTGACTGTCTCACCGTCTTGAACATCAATGGGACACTTGGGAAACGCCTGAAGGTTTGGGTTCTTGCTTGTAATCCTCCCTGTGGAAGCCGACACTTGCTCCCAACTTGTCCCAATAGTTCCGTCACTCTTGACATGCTGCAGCAAGCCTTCCACATAAGTTGATTTCAATTTCTGCAGCCTTCTATACTCTAATATAATCTTTGGTAGCGGATGCAACTCTTTCATTTGTTCCAATACAGTTTCTGAAGTTGATTTTTCTCCGTGCTCTGTTTTTTTCACCTGTAAGAACATTTGAATAAATGTGTTATGATGTAGGTATTTGTAACGAGCCTTTTTCCTAGGGGGGTAAATATTTGCTATTTGGGCCGCGCGTCTATAGAGGTAAGCAAGCGGCGGCGGCGAACCTGGCTAGCGCCCTTTGACCCGGCTTATCAGTTCGGATAAGCTTGGGTATCCCGGGACTACTGGATAGCCGAGAAGGACATTCGAGTGGTGGATCCCGTGCAGTGAAGAGTGTTGGTGTCTGGCTGATACGTCGGTGGTGTACGTAGAGAGGAGTGAACGTGACAGTGGTGTCGGAGAACGTTGGTGGTGTGATTGCGCCGAGTGTTGGTGTAAGTTGGGTACAGACCCACTATCGGTGAGTGGACGACGTTCCTTACTTTTTGGTTTAAGAGTTGAAAGTTGTTACTAAAACACTCATCTCTGATTTGATTGCGAGAGTTAGAGTTGTAACCGTGCTGGTCAAAGCCTGATGGTAGTTAGGATTTATATTAGTCAGGAATAATATTAAAGTGTATTCCTGACGGTTCTGGGCAGGTGCTAGAGCGCAAATAATATAATTTAATTGACTGTAGTAGATATTATTTTGCGTTGTACCTAGAGTTAGTTATATTACTAATAACTCTGAGGCCCGACAAACCTAGGCTGCACGATTTAGCGTGCGTAGTTGGAAGCACGAGGCCAGTAGGCTAGTAGCTAGTTTTATTAGCCTATTAACAGAAGCCCGGCTGAGCAATATAAAGTTGGTAGTAGCAGTAGCAGTAGTAGGGTTGTTATTGTTTACTCATTTGATTATTTTAATTTAACCTGAACAGCTTGCTTAGTAATCCAACACGTTAGCTTGGTAGCTTGGATAGCGGAGTACCGGCTATCAGATAATATATTTATCTAGTGTTTGGAACGTAGTTAATATTTATTCATCTGCTACTAAGTAGCTCAATATTTTAATAGTGCAATTGCCATTTAGTTTTGCTTGTTTGGCTTGGTATTTATTGAGACCAGCTACTAGTGGTGTAGTCACTCTACCTATAGTGTACTTGTATATTATTATGTGGTACGATTATTGAGTGAACTGTTTGATTCTTAGCTTGGGCATTAGAGTTGTGTATTGGATTATAGTGGCCTAGTAGACCCCGCCTGGTGATAACACGCGTTGTGGTTTTTATTGGCAAGTCGTCGTGTAACTCACCGTGTTTTAGGCACTCTGGGCTTAACTATTGGATAGTTAGGACGAAGCCCGAGTTGCGTAGTCAGCAACGACCCCCTAGGAGTGTGGAGAATCGGCGTAGGCCTGGTAGTGATTATTGCACGTTTGTTTTGGTGACTTGTTTTTGACTTGTTCACAGTGCCCGTGTATGAGCCAGTCCTATACCGGTTAGACCCGGCTTTTGGCCTAGTGGTTTCCCTGACCTTGTCGCAGACCCTGGAACTTTACCCAGCCATTGTAGGCTGAGCTATCCCCGGCAAACGGTTGCGACTGCACTTTTAATATTTATTTTTTCCAGTGCAGAAAGTAGCGTTGCAAGATGGCGCCTGCGAACAGGGACTGAGGTTGGCAGTGGTGCTGAGTTGCTGACGTATTAACGGCGCCCGAACAAAATAATTTTATTTGTGCAGATTTGCTGCGGACTTGTGCAGATTGGCTGCGGACCTGAGCTGTTGAGCAGAGTTTTAGGCAGACCTGCTGTGATTTTATAGTCGGTTGGGTAGGCCTAACCTGTTTTCTGTTACAGCGTGGTGTGTTGTGAACCCTAATTTATTTAGTGGTTGTATACATAGATATTAGTTAGTAATTTTAATTTTGCTAATTAATTGAGCCTTATCATTGAATATTATTTGAGTGAGAACCCTTATTGTGTATTTGTGGTTTGACTTTCACACCCATAATTGGTTTGATTTATTATTTTGCTAATTAATTGAGCTTTAGTGTTGAATATTATTTGAGTGAGAACCCTTATTGTGTATTTGTGGTTTGACTTTCACACCTATAATTGGTTTGACTTATTATAACGGTGTTAAATACATTTTAATTGGTTTCGCTCTTATTTTTGCGGATTAGTCGTGGTATTTGAGTTTTAAATATGGTTGTGACTACGAGTACGACGTCTGTGGTGGGCGGTACGCCTATTACGTCTGCTATTACTACGACTAGTTCTGGGGTTAGCTCCGAACTGTCGGTGATGACGACTTCGTCATTGAGGCCGGCGTCTTCGCCCGTTTGGCCGACTATTTCATCGGTCGTGGCTACGACGGTGACAACTTCTTTGACCTATTCCGCGCCAGCGACTATGTCCTTGGGGTCGCAGCCCCGGGACGGTCGCGTGGGTTGGATCTATGACCTCTCGAAAGGGGAGCTCATGAGAACGATGGACCAGTATGGTTTGGTGACCACTGGGACTTCTGCGGAATTACGGCAGAGATTCTCGTCGTTTTGGAAGCAGCGGAATGCCCGTCGGTACAGCGATGATAGGCTGTGTACGGCTGGGGCGGCTGCACCGATAGTGCCGGCTACTACAACTATGGAGCTTCCTGACCCCCCGAGAACCGTACCTCAGGTACTGGGTAGCACTGAGTCGGACCAAAGAGAGATATTCGGACTTAGCGGGGAGTTAGAGGTGGTTAAAGAGATCCTTGGGTTGTCTTCGGAGACCGATACCCGGACTCTTAGAGAACATCTGGCATCGGTGGTGCGCCAGGCGAGGGGCTCGCCGAGTATTGGGGTCGGCTATGGGTTCGGAAGACCCGCCAACCCTACGTCCCCTGTTGTGGCTGTTCCCACGCCTACCTTTGGGTTACCAAGTAGACCCGAGGGATGGCAGCGACCTAACGATCATTCAGAGAGACCAGTCCGTCCTTCTAGCTTGGAGGTGCCACGAGGCTCGGATATGCTTTTGAATGAGGCCAGCAGGGTGGAGCCGAAGGATTGCTCCAAGATATGTGACATGGTCCGAAAGTGGGGTTTGAGGTTTGATGGCCGACGAGACCCTGTGTCATTCCTTGAGCGCCTAGAAGAGCTGATGGTGTCCTACTCCGTATCATCAGAGGACCTGCTCAGAGCGCTACCGGAGCTGCTGCAAGGTTCAGCACTTCTTTGGTACAGGAACTGCAAGGAGCTCCTGTATTCCTTTGAAGCTTTCCGGCATCAATTTGAGATCCAGTTCCTTCCACCTGGTTATCAGAGGAATTTGGATGAGGAGATCCGGAAAAGGACGCAGGGTGAGACCGAACACTTCCGAGATTATGTCGTGGCCATAAGTACCTTGCTTAGGCGTAGCGGGACGTTGTCGGAGCATGGTAGATTGGACCTAATCTACAATAATATGCGTCCAGAGTACAAGCTGATGGTACGCCGGCGTGACTTCAGCAACCTGGCCGAGATGGTGGAGTTGGCTGAAGACTACGAGGCCTATTTGCGAGAGAAGGCCGCCTTCCGACCTCCTCCTTCACCAAACGTAGCGCTGGTTTTGGAAACCGCCTATGTTCCCAAGAAGAAGGCTGAGAAGTGTTTTGAAACGGCCGCGGTTGAAAAACATAATTTTCAGAGACCATCTCTGGAGGCTAAGTCGATTGGGCAGCGAGTAGATTTTGACTCTAACCGGGTCCGTGAACAAAGGCCCGTAATGACTAGGAAAGTGGCAGATGGTGCAAAGGATGCACGGTGTTTTAGGTGCCAGGAGATTGGTCACTTTGCCAGAGGCTGTGGCAAACTGAGGACCGTCTCCTGTTTTAGATGTGGCAAACCCGGTTTGACGGTGAATCAGTGTGGATGTCGGGCGGGAAACGGCAGGCCAGCTCAGACATCAGAAGGTCAACTGGGCAAGGCCACCGAAAACGAACGGCCTCAGAAGAGTGGTCCGAGTGGCTCGGAAAACTAAACAGCCTGGTTGGTGGAGTAGACGAGGACCGGCTTACTTTGGACTCTAGGCCCTTCGTTGAAGTTGTGCTGATGGGCAGCGTTTTTGTGGCGTTACTGGACACTGGGTCCGTCGTCAACTTGGTTGGGCGAGGAGTCGCCGAACACCTTCAACGCCAGGGGATAGAGCCTTGTAAGAAAACCACTCCTCTAAGGATGGCAGATGGGTCACGGTCGAGGGCCGAGTATTCGTTTCGGATAGCAGGAGAAGCTGCGGGAAGACGGTGGATGGGAGATGCCTTGTACGTCCCCACTCTCACCATAGACATGATTCTGGGTATGGATGTCATCCGAGACCTCGGATTGGTGACATGTGGGACAGAGGTAGTAAAAATGGGCGTGGGTGATGACTGCTCTGGCCAAGGTGGCCGCATGGACAGTGTCAAAATTGGTGACGAAGACCCCGAAGGCCCTTGCAATGGAAATCCCCGTCTGGTTCCTGATGCCAAATCATTCAGCAACATGTTGGCTGATAGTAGCTAGAGCGAGAGTTTTTCTTTATTTTGAGTTTGAGACCTGTGGTGTAGGATTCACCATTGGGTTAGGGGTTGGAGTATTTTGTTTTGGCCGGAGTTCGAAGATTTTTTTTTCTTTTTGCCGTTTTCTTTTTTTTTCATCCCGATGTAAGTGGGGGGTGTAACGAGCCTTTTTCCTAGAGGGGTAAATATTTGCTATTTGGGCCGCGCGTCTATAGAGGTAAGCAAGCGGCGGCGGCGAACCTGGCTAGCGCCCTTTGACCCGGCTTATCAGTTCGGATAAGCTTGGGTATCCCGGGACTACTGGATAGCCGAGAAGGACATTCGAGTGGTGGATCCCGTGCAGTGAAGAGTGTTGGTGTCTGGCTGATACGTCGGTGGTGTACGTAGAGAGGAGTGAACGTGACAGTGGTGTCGGAGAACGTTGGTGGTGTGATCGCGCCGAGTGTTGGTGTAAGTTGGGTACAGACCCACTATCGGTGAGTGGACGACGTTCCTTACTTTTTGGTTTAAGAGTTGAAAGTTGTTACTAAAACACTCATCTCTGATTTGATTGCGAGAGTTAGAGTTGTAACCGTGCTGGTCAAAGCCTGATGGTAGTTAGGATTTATATTAGTCAGGAATAATATTAAAGTGTATTCCTGACGGTTCTGGGCAGGTGCTAGAGCGCAAATAATATAATTTAATTGACTGTAGTAGATATTATTTTGCGTTGTACCTAGAGTTAGTTATATTACTAATAACTCTGAGGCCCGACAAACCTAGGCTGCACGATTTAGCGTGCGTAGTTGGAAGCACGAGGCCAGTAGGCTAGTAGCTAGTTTTATTAGCCTATTAACAGAAGCCCGGCTGAGCAATATAAAGTTGGTAGTAGCAGTAGCAGTAGTAGGGTTGTTATTGTTTACTCATTTGATTATTTTAATTTAACCTGAACAGCTTGCTTAGTAATCCAACACGTTAGCTTGGTAGCTTGGTAGCTTGGATAGCGGAGTACCGGCTATCAGATAATATATTTATCTAGTGTTTGGAACGTAGTCAATATTTATTTATCTGCTACTAAGTAGCTCAATATTTTAATAGTGCAATTGCCATTTAGTTTTGCTTGTTTGGCTTGGTATTTATTGAGACCAGCTACTAGTGGTGTAGTCACTCTACCTATAGTGTACTTGTATATTATTATGTGGTACGATTATTGAGTGAACTGTTTGATTCTTAGCTTGGGCATTAGAGTTGTGTATTGGATTATAGTGGCCTAGTAGACCCCGCCTGGTGATAACACGCGTTGTGGTTTTTATTGGCAAGTCGTCGTGTAACTCACCGTGTTTTAGGCACTCTGGGCTTAACTATTGGATAGTTAGGACGAAGCCCGAGTTGCGTAGTCAGCAACGACCCCCTAGGAGTGTGGAGAATCGGCGTAGGCCTGGTAGTGATTATTGCACGTTTGTTTTGGTGACTTGTTTTTGACTTGTTCACAGTGCCCGTGTATAAGCCAGTCCTATACCGGTTAGACCCGGCTTTTGGCCTAGTGGTTTCCCTGACCTTGTCGCAGACCCTGGAACTTTACCCAGCCATTGTAGGCTGAGCTATCCCCGGCAAACGGTTGCGACTGCACTTTTAATATTTATTTTTTCCAGTGCAGAAAGTAGCGTCGCATATTGCTTTGAATAAATCCACTTTAAGTACAAGTCATAATTATCCTATGTTAAACAGTTCAGAACAGGGTGTATTAACGGAAACGTTGGATAGCTGAAGATGGAATAGTCGAGACTCTTACCGTATGTTATGTTAAACTTGTTTGATGTGTGCCAAAACTTTCTATAACTGTATACAATGTTTTTATCACCTTCAAGTTGAACAAACAATAACATTTTTTAGCGAATTCCCCATATAGGGAATAAGCTATTACCGTAGTACTCATGGTAAGACCTGGACGCGGGACCGATTTTTTTTCATTTTGAGGTCCCTAGAGGCCAAAAACACCATCCGTTCAAATTCATATATATATATGTGTTGGTTAGCACAACTCGAGCAAAAATGATCCGATTTTGATGAAATTTGGTACAAACGTGTAAACCTACATTTATTCAAATGAGTTTGCGATCCAGCATGATCGGACCATGGGAACGGGGGTTTACGGGGGGTTTTATGGGGTACAAATAGGTTTTTCCCATTTTGACCCAAAAAACATAAAATTTAGCAATTTCTTTCCAAACCATTTTCTAGAGCTTAATAAAACAAATAATTTAGTATATTGAAGCGTTATTATGCGCCTAATGGTTCCGGAGAAAATTCCAAAAAATAGTAAATTTAAAATTCCCATGTTAGGCCTATTCTTATGGAGAATAAGTAAACTGTTGTAGTTTGCTTGTTTATGAACGTATTTTGATTTTGACAAATTTTGAAAAAGTTTTTATTTCTTACTAACTATTAACATAAAAAAAACTGTTTTACCCTCCCTGATGCAGCAAACCTAAGTACTTGTTAAACTAATTCTATTTAAATCGGGAATAAATGTTATATTTTTAAGTAGACATTTCAGTGTAAATCCAATCAGTCAAATGGAAATTCGCTTAGTCTGCAGGTTTGCTGCGGCGGGGGTATTCATTTGTGAGTTATCTTACAACGATGACACATGTAGGTACTTATCACAATAATACTTTTTCCACACAAAAAAATTCAAGCATGCTATTTTTAAATATCCTAGTTTGTTTTTTATGAAATGTTTAAATGTAAGATATATTTAACACCACAAGTTGCCCTAAAAGTCTGCTGTGCAGTAGTCCACAGCACATCCATAGTGAGTTTTTTGTTGTTGTTTTTGGATAGTCAATAAAAAAAAGGCTGGTATGAAGGAATAAGTGAACAGGAAAAATATATTTTGAAACTAGCATAACAATTAGTTTAACTAGTAGTATAACAATTAGTTTCAAGAACTTGAATTATATTAGATTTAACTTTGTTGTTGTTGCCTGAGTTCACAAACATCTTACCTACAAGAACTCAGACAACAAAAACAAAGGCAAATATAAGGAAACATATCTCCTTAATAATAAAAGGTTTTAAAAGTTTTGAAATACATTCTAACAGAACAGTAAGTACATCTAGTCTAGATGAACTGCTAGGAATACTAAATACTACTTAGCTGCTTACAATACTACCTTCAAATTGAATTTTTCGTCCAACTTTAATTTGTCAAAGAGAATCTCTCTCAGTTGCTGAGGGGAGTTTAGTTGGAACCATCTGTCGGCCAGTTTATGCGCTTCACTCTGCAATTTACGCAGCTTTTTATCCATCGCCTCTGCTGTTCGGTGAAGCTTTTTCATATCAACTAGAATTGATGAACTTTCCATCATTGCTAATATTGGAATCAATTTCGTTTCCATGTCAGTGAAAACCGTCCATAAAGAAGTGTTCACAAGCCGATTTTGCAAAATGTTCATCGCAACGTCCAAAACAGGGAGGAGATCACAAGCTTGATCCTTTGTGTTTGCTTGTGGGTTGACAACAAGCAGGTTCTTGTCCATGTTCAACTTGTCTGATATCTCTTTAAAGTCTTTTGGAGGATTGTCAGGATCCAATAGCCAGCTTGCGATTAATGGATCATATGCGTCCCAATTGTGTATTTCCTGATAAAAAACACAATCCTATAATACATTGATGCATACTCTTTTCATGGTGTAATTTTATGATGTTTATTTTTTAACTGACAATATTGATTTTTTACTCAATGCAAAAAGGTACAAAACTCATGTATTCTGATTTTAAAACTTAACATTTTAAATATGTACCAAATGCAAACATCAATGACACCCATTAAGTAATAATTAAAGCAATTTAGTTTGAGTTCAAACATATTTTCCATACAAATTGTACAAATAACAAAGGAATTAAAGTGATAAAGTTAGTTCATGTTTTGAAAAACAAACGTATGTCACCAAAGTAAATACACAAAAAGACCTATTTTTGCTTCCTAAAACAGTATAGAAATGACCTTACTTACATGGATCTAAGTCAAGTAGTCAGTGCATGGACTCAAGCTTTTGACAATATGCATTTTTTCTCCAACCAAAGAGCTAAATTACTTTTTAAAGACAGTTTATTACAAAAAAGATTGATGAATAAGCTGATTTAAAAATGTGTTTCAACACACTTAAATTGAAAATAAGCATGTGTTTTTTTGTATCATCAATGCAAACAATTTTTAAATAGCACTCAAAATACAAGGGTCGTCCGTAAAATCCATCTGGCTCCCGTTGCAACCAAGAAAGCTAGTTCAAACCTGAGACCAATGTCTTGTTACTTACTTCAATAACTACTGTTCTATCAAGTCTGGTCATAGTGTACTCCTGCCAACTATGAATAGCGTCCTGTGGATAGGTTTCTGTTGGAAGGGGTCAATCCCTGGTGATTACTGTATGCAGGAAAGTGGTTTGACATGGAAAATATCCATTAGTACCTTGGCGAATGCGTCGAAGCCCGTGCATATTAGCACAACGGGGCTGGCAGCGAGTCTTCATTAGTTTCCATAGTGACAGTGATTGAATTTAAGGAAACTTTTCTTGCAGATCGGTCTATTTCAGACTTCAAGGGCTGAAAATAGTCATTGACAGTCTTATAGAAACGTTCCTTACCAGTCCGATATTCTCTCCTCTTGTTTAGTTGTTTAGTCACACCAAAATCCACGTATGCAAAATTCCCGCAACTTTGGGCAAATGAGACTGATGAACACCAGCTATCAGACTACACCATGGAAAACATCATGCAAATGTTTAAAACCACCTTCGAACTTCCTCCACCTTTTGCGCACGTATTCTACATCCAAACACTCTACTCTTTTCACGTCCATCAAGTGATGGACTTCAATAGCGGTAGACAACTGAGACCACAGAAATCTAATCACAGAACACTATTTATACTTTGCAGGAGTGTAATTTTTTTGTTCACAACATTTGTCAATACTATGAACAGACTAATTATATGGGTGGGGACAGGCTAGAATAGTAGTGAACGAACTAAGGAACACAACCTTGGTCTCAGGTTTGAACTAGTTCATTTGGCTGTGACACGGGACCTGGGACAACCCTCGTATATATTTTAAATTAGATTTATAAAACAATTGCTTTACCTTCAACTTGAGCATATCCATCAGGAGCATGTAGACAGCTTGGGCCTCAAAACAAATGTTTCGCTCACTCTTGCTCATTAAAGTATCCACTAGCTTGACCACAGCAGGAGTGATCGCCGCAGGATCTGACAGTGGAAGCCAATAATAACACTGCCGTCCTGACTCCCAGGCAAGCATGTGCATCACGCCTGACGGAAAACATCTAGAGTTCTTCTTCTGTTCTTCAGGTTTATTGAGCAATGTGTACCCTTCCCTGAGTATAAAGTTACAAAATTGCATTACCAATTTGAAAGAAAAAGAGTAATAAATGAAAAATCATGATGCAAAAATAAAAACAATTGAATTGACATGATTTTTTACTATTAGGCCTACCCAGGCAGCTATGGTTGTTGTAAGACTTCAGAGTAAACATTTTTTATATAAATGAATAATTATAGTTTGCATAGACTCACCCCTAAAGCTGGGTTTTCCTAGGCGCGGAGTCGGCGAGCGGAGAGAGGAACGCGGAGAGCGGACTCCACTTGTATTAGGCAATTTAATGTTACTGTTTTCCTAGAAGCGGAGCGGAATACCATGTTAATTTCAATTCCGCTCTCCGCGTTCCTCTCTCCGCTCGCCGACTCCGCGCCTAGGAAATCCCAGCTTAAACAAAATAATTTCTGTATTGCACAATTAATCTTTAATTATGCATGCATCTGTCTTTAACCAACATTTTTAAATAGCCACAATCACAGAGAAGTAATTGTCTTACAGGTTACTAAGAAAATAATTTGATGTCAGTAGTGCACTTCAGCTGTGGTTACTATTTAAGGTAGTTCTTAATTTTGCTGTAGAATGCAAAATGAGGTGTGACAAGCACGCCATTAGGCAGTGACACAAGCACATACATGTTGTAAAATTGTGGAGGGAGGGGAAAATTAGCACTGATATAGCGAATACAGAAAGTTAAAACATTGGCACGAAATAAGCCCATTGTTCCTCTTCACCCACTCTCCCACTTCCCATTTACCTAGGACGCTGAAATTTAATACACTGATTCTTTAGGCATTAAATAGGAAAACTAAGTTGTTTTTATTCTGATCGGACTCTTGGGCTCTGTCCCAGTGGCTCTGGAGTTTCCCATGTTAACCTTATGAGTAATCACATTTAAATGGAACTAATGAATCTTAACAGCTGTTTCAATTAAACAAGTTGTTTCTGTTCTATGATCTTCAATATTAAAGTTACAAGGATTACCAACAGGGTGCAGCTGCAGCACTATTATTTTTTTTAAATTTATGACAACAGCTAATTTGCAACCAAAAGGTGAGTGAGCGTAGGGAACGAACTTCAACCTGGAGGCGAGTTAGCGTAGCGAACGAGCTAACCTGAAGGCAAGTGAGCGCAGCGAACGAGCTCCAACCTAAAAGTGAGTGAGCTTAGCGAACAAACTTCAACCAGGACGTGATTGAGCCATGCGAACGAGCTCACTTATGAAGTAAAACGGGGCAAAGCCCGCGGGTACAGCTAGTAAATTATAAATGAAACGGCAATCCACATTTATAAAAAATCAAAGAAAATTCATTGCACAAAATTTCAAATACTCTTTTACCTGAATGTCACAGTGGTGACTATGTTGTTAATCTTTTCAGTGTTAAGTTTCTGGAGAACTTGATTAGCATTGACGTCGTCAAGAACATTTATAGTGTGGTGATTCAATGGCACATCCTGCAAAAGCCACAGTTACATTCACATAGTTTTTCTTAACAAATAGTCCTTATCCAAGTTATATTTAGACCATTTCTAATTGAAAAAGACGTTCTTAAGGGTGTTTGGTCGCAAATTTTCATGTCTGATTTTTTGTTATTGTTTAATTGTACTAAAAATTAGAGATACAAATAGATAAGAAAAATTTTTTTTTTTTATATTAAGCGAGATATGGAGCTTGAAAGTAGTAAATTTTTAATCTTTGGTACCATTTCACCATTTCACAGGGAGAATGGGTAATGCGATTCTCACCAAAATTTGCATTCAGGTGTGGAAAAATAAGATAATAATCACTAGCTATTTAAAATTAAAATTTAAAAAAAAATTTATTTTTTCTTTTTTATAATTTTTTTTTAAAATTAAAAAAAAATTTTAATTTATAAATAGCTGTTTGTTTTTGGGAAAAATGTATCTGTATGTTGGAATAAAAAAAAAGTGATATGTTAACTCGTTTGGGCTGTGAATTCGTACCTTTGATGCCTTGCGCTGTCGGAGCACTACTTGTTGAGAGTTTGTACACTAACACCGGGGCTTTAGAATACTTTAACATCACGTAATTATTAACATCCTTTAACATTGAAAGAATACGTTTATCGTTGTATTCTAGAGCCCCGGTGTTAGTGTACACACTCTCAACGAGTAGTGCTCCGACAGCGCAAGGCATGAAAGGTACGAATTCACAGCCCAAACGAGTTAACATATCACTTTTTTTTTATTCCAACATACAGATACATTTTTCCCAAAAACAAACAGCTATTTTTAAATTTTTTTAAAAAATTTATAAAAAATAAAAAAAAACTGTTTTTTAATTTTTAATTTTAAATAGCTAGTGATTATTATCTTATTTTTCCACACCTGAATGCAAATTTTGGTGAGGATCGCATTACCCATTTTCCCTGTGAACTGGTACCAAAGATTAAAAATTTACTACTTTCAAGCTCCATATCTCGCTTAATATTCAAAATAAAAAATTTTTTCTTATCTCTTTGTATCTCTAATTTTTAGTACAATTGAACAATAACAAAAAATAAGACATCAAATTTTTGACCAAACACCCTTAATAGTTTTTATTTGATAATTCTCGCTTCCTGGATTTTTGAGCTCAACTTATTTGAGCTATTTCCATTCCATTTTATAAAAAAGTTTATGAAAAAAACCAAAATGACATTAAAAACAGTCTTTAGCGGGAACATTTAACATTGATTATGAACACACCAAAGTAGATCAAGGCCAATTCAATAGTCATTGAATAGTCATTTATTCAGTCTTTAAACAATACATTATTGAAATTGACATCGTCATTATTATTGTAAAAGATATAAGATGCAATACTTATATAATTAATAAAATTTGACATGAAAATTCCAAAATATAGGCTGCCCTTAGTTTAACATTTAACAGGTTTAAAATAATTTTAAAAATAGGCAAACTTAACATACTTAAATTATGAATGACAGTGGGTCTTTCTTAAAAAGGCTAATGGTTATCACAGGTGTAACAATGAACATAGAGGGACAAAATTTCTAACATTATCACAGATGGAATATGGTAAAAAACATATCAAAATAAGTGAACAAGTGAAGTTTTTTTGGCTTCTGGGGACATCAAAATAAAAAAGTAAATCGGTCCCGGGTGTAGGTCTTACCGTGCCACCTACGGTATAGCTACTTCCCTATAGGGAAATTCGCTAAAAGAAAAATTTCCTTGTCTAAAAATGACATACGCATGTAATGAAAGTTCAAATCTGTACTGTACCTTAGAAGTCAAATGAGATGCGGATATTGGTGGTACAAAACAAGGCTTTTTACTTTTCTTTGCTGAGGTATCTTTAGCATTTCTTTTGACAGGTTCATTCTTGATTAAACTTGTTTGTACCAATTTGGACGGATCACACTTCTGTTTGATCTCTTCTAGAGATGTGTTACCTTGCAAAAACCCATTTCCGGTGCTGTCATTTTTGGAAATATTATCTAAATTTTTATTTAGCGATACCTTATTCTTTACACTATTTAGTTTTGAGCTAGTTTTACCCATTCTTACTGGTGCTAAAGGTTTCTTGAATTGATCTCCCTTTAAAGAGGTATTCACATGTGTTTCGTTGCCATTCCTTGCGACAGAATCTAAACTGTTTGTTTCAGGTGGGATTTTTCGGCACTCAAAAAGGGTTCTTTGCTTTAGAGGTTTTGCTGTAACATTTCTTTTGCCCATGTCCACTGCTAGTTTACTTCCATTTTTTACGTTAGTTTGCATGGTAATTTTTTTATCATTCTCTTTATTAACTCTTTCTTTATCAGGTAGTTTATTGTTTCGTTTCATGTTTTTGGTCTCATAAAAGACTTGTTGATTGTTTGTACTGGAATTTCCATTATAGTTTTGAAAGTATTGAGACTTAAGTACTGGAGAACATAAATTAGTGTCTTCATTATTTAATGAGATTGGATCAATATTTTGTATCTTCGATATAGGATGAGGGTCTAAATTACTATTTAGCTTAAATTCTTCTGCAGGTTTATTTGTCGATGCAAGTATGTTTGTAATTCCAGTTTGTTCATTAAAAGGCAAACACTTAACTTGATTGCTAATTGCTGATTTGTTTGTGTTTTCAAAATTCTTCTCAAACATAATTGAAGAATGGTCAAGAGTTTTATCATCCAATGAAAATAAATCATCAACATCAAAAGTAGGTGAAACATTATTACCAACCGGTTTTTGATAAGGTGGAAGACTTAATTCTTCTGGCTGATTTGTTTCAATTTCATTTGTATTTTCAACCGGCTTTTGATAAGGCGGAAGACTTAATTCTTCTGACTGATTTGCTTCAATGTCATTTATATTGTTTTGGGAATAATCCAAGCTTTCTTGTGTTTTTGCAAAAATATCCTGTGAAAAATCTAATTGTTTTTTATAGGATGGCTTTGTACATACGTTGTTTTCAAAGCTTTGTAGAGGATGAAATGAATTTGACTCTGCCGTTTGCTTCAGCTTGGTTGCGTCAGTTACTCTTTTTTGGAATGAGTTGCACCTACGTTGAATATAGTTTTCTTGATGTGTTCTCTCTAAACTATTTATTGACTGTTTTTGCTGATCATAATCTGAACTGCTAATTGCAAACCTGGACAATTTTAATGCATCACGTTTTGTCCAAACTTCAGCCTCTTGATTTTGGTGATCCATCAAGAAATTTTCTTTAAAGGTTTTGGACATTTGAGTTGCATGATTCTTTTCCACATATGATGCTGGTATTTCTGTCCTCAAATCATTTTCAACATTTGGCAATTTTGCTCGCATATTATCTTCTTCCATAGTATAGTTGTTGTCTAAGCTCTCATTGAAAACATCATTAACATCAAACATTTTTTGTTCACCACTGAATCTATTTTGATTATTGGAACCATGATCTTCAATATTGTTTTGATATAAGTTTACTTTCCTACAATTATTTGTATTTAATAAATCACCTTGACAAATACCTTGATTATAGTTTTTATTTTTATCAACAGCCATATCTGAGTTTGGTTTTGCTAAAGGAATATTTTTAAAGGTTGCCAGTTTTGTTTTAAATTTTGGAACATTATTTACACTGGTAAAATCAAAAGTCTGGTCAAGCAGTCCTAATTGGTTTGGTGCAACCCTTTTTGCTTGCTTTCCCGATGTTAGAGAGGAATCAATTTGTACTCCGCGCTTTTGCAAAGGTCTTGGTTTGATTTCTTTGAAATTTATCTTGTTTTTCACTGTCAAAGACATATTGAGATCTGATTTTTGGTCAAATACCTTGATTGGAGGGCATTCATCTTGTTTGTCAAACGGACAAGAGTAAATTTTCAAATCATCAAACTCCATGTCAGGACTTAAATTAAAAGTTAGATCTCTATTCCTGATTGCATCAAAAGGTTCATATGGATTATTGTGGGGTATTATCTGTTTACTTTGGCGTGATTGAATGTGAGGGTAGGATTGTGAAGAAATATTATCTTCTTGAAACTTAGTGTAGGTCGCATGGTGACCACCTGAATTGAGTCTTGTATTAGGCAAGGAAGCCATTGAGAATGTTGGGATATCACTGATGGAAATTGAGTTATCATAGTTTTTTGAATGTTGTCGAGTGATATTTGGTATAGAATTCATCCCAACTGAACTTTGATGATCCCAATCGTCAGAGACTTCATAAACATCATCCCTTCTGGTTCTTGGGACATTTCTGCAATAAAAAATATACCATTTCATAATGAAGTGACAAAAAATGGGTTGACTAAAAAAGATTAAAAGTAATTCAGAATATAAAATATTTAAAGGAAAATCAATGTAAGAGACATTTTACACATTTAGTGTGAACAATATAGGGAGAGCCGAAAAACTCATTTTTATATATGGGTGTTGTAATAGTGCAAAAAGTTTATAATAGTGTACATGGACCTTAAGCTTGACAAAATATTTTAAAAAATCTTTTTTGCTACAGTGTGAAATGACCTGTTTCCATTAAATGTTTATCACCTGCGAAAATTCATCATTACATTGTTTACTACGGCAAAAGAATGTTTACTATGCAAAAGTCTTTTTTGGATTTTGCCAACGTAAACAAAGATTTGTTATTGATTTGTCATTTGTTTTAATTTTTAACTACCAAAACTATACAACCAAAGTAAATATTAACTTTAAATTGAAGCTATAGGCCTAACCTGAAAAATACTATGAGTTTCTTTTAATTTTCAAGAAAATAATTAGTCTTTGTAGTGTAGCAAAACGTAACGTTCAAAACACGAGTGAAAGTGGGTCTATACATATTCTCGACCATTTAAAGTGCTAGATAAATCTCACACTGTTTCAAACATGGTCTCAAATATGTAATTACTCAGCACTTTCTACTCTTGTTATGAAATATACAATTACATTTTTGTATTTTCAAAAAAAGATGTTTGTGTAATGTAAATAGTTTGTAGGCTAATGTATTCAAAAGGAGCCTTAAAAGTTTTTTAATTGGGGTTGGATCAGTTGACATCTTCCAGTCCTACATACATATGCATCAAACTTGGCTAAAAATTAAATTCTAAAGCATTAAAAATGTACGGTATGTACAGTTTAAAGTTTAGTACAGTAAGTATTAGAATGAGTTATATTACACAAATCATAATGAGGTTGACACAATTTTCTGGTTCAGTCAATGTTTTCCAGTTGTACAAAGACTTAAAAAGCTCTTGACCACAGAGGATAACTTATAGGAAGCGAAAAGTTATTAACCTCTCAAAGCGAACAACCTAAAGTGATAGCTTCAAGTCTTGCATGACTTTTGATTGACCCTTGTTGTATATATTTATAAAAATTCATCCCAATAAATGTTATAGAGATAAATCATGATACTTCAAGGCAATCAATTAAATAATGTACTGAAGTTGAGACAATGTACATAAGTAATGGAAACAACCAGATGGATCCTTACTGTTTATAAAACTTACATTGGGTTCCAATGAGTATCATGCAATGAATCCGAGCCTGTAGCTTGGCTGTGAGACCCTTGCTGTCTGTTTCCTCCTAGTGTGCTGCTCTGATGCCATCTGCTTCCTCCTACAGTTGAGCTCTCCTGCCTGATCATTGCAAGGACACTCTCCGCTAATGGGCTGAGGGTAGGAATGGTGGTTGGGTCGGGAGGAAGGATTATTGGGGTCCAAAACATTGTAGATTTCTGTAAAGGCAATCGTTTTCTGGCCACGTCTTTGAACCAAGAGGCCTAAAGTCTTCTAGATTTTATAGTTAAAAGATATGTTTTAAAATAAAATTTACAAGTTTTATATTCCTATCAAGTCATACCTAATGTAGTTTTTTTTTAGCATGTATTTTTAATAAATAAATATAATTTAATTAAGTTAAATATAGCTGCCTATTTATATCATAGAATATGGTTAGAAACACAAATCCATTAGTGTAATAAAATCTAGATAGGAGTGCTACTGAGCTTATAGGTTATGATAAGAGGTTTTAAATCCAGTTCAAAAACTAGACTTTTAGATCTTTCTCATCCTTGTTCACTAATAGACGAAGCCACTACGGATTGTAATTATTATTGTATTTTAATGATTGTAATACACTGTTTAACTTATTTCTTATCCATCTATCTATCTCAACAAGTGGTCGCTTCGTGGTCGAAAACTCAACCAAAAATATGTATTGTGCAAACTTCTCTATTTTTACCGCACGCTGTAAATAAAACATGTGATTAGAATTTCTTACATTTGTTTTGATTTTCTGTTTATATTTCGTTGTTACTTCATCACCATGATGGCAACCCATAAGGCCCATGGTAATTTTTTTTTTAACTTTAAATTTTGCTTATTTTCGAGCCTATTTTAATTTATTCTATACATCTACAGAAACTTATATTTCTAACAGTATGCGTAGATTTTCCCTGCAATGCACACGAGCTGAGAAAAAAGGTTTTAAAGAATCATGTTTGCCTATTAATCAATACTGTCGTCCAGTGGTCGAAAAATCAAACAAAAATATATAATTTACAGACTTCTTTGCAACCCACGCTGTAAATAAAACATGCAATTTGAATTTATTCTATTTCTTTTATTTTCCGTTTATATTTTGTTGTTATTTCGCCACCAGCATAACAATCCATAAAGTATGTTATTTTTTTAAAATTTTGAATTCATTTTTTTTTAGCCTATTTTAATTTTTAAAGGGAATCTGCACATCTACAGGACCTTTCTAACAGTACGCGTCTTTCCCTGCGATGCACTTGACCTGAGAAAAAAGGTTTTAAAGAAACATGCTTGCCTATTAATATCTATAGCCTATCTATAAAATAGGATGTATGTATGTACCGGTATGTGTATGTATGTATATGGACTCCAAAACCGCTTGACAAATTGTATGGAAAGACATCGTGAAATTTTGTGTTTTTAGGGTCGTAAATAGGAAAAACCAATTTTTACCCCATAAACCCCCTTTCCCATAGACCGATCATGCTGGTACGGTATGCGAACTCGTTCCAATAAACGTACCGTAGGGTTACACATTTGAACCAAATTTCATCA